AAGAAGGAAAAAAATATAAATTATTGAACACTTTATTTGTGAAGTGAAATTTGTGAAGGTTTGATATATTTGATTATGAATAGAAAAGTATGAAATACTACCTGCGGACCGTTGAGATAGATGAGAAGATTTACTTAAAATATATAGAATAAATATTGAGATAATGATTTACCTTTTACCTAGTATAGATAAAATAAATATTGACATGATGTGGGAAAATTATGACGAATTATGACATAAATTCGTTTAGAAAATATTCAAAAATTAGGTTTTTTATTATTTTTTAAATCCTTACAGTAATTCGTACGCTCCTTTTCATATGCTTAATTTATCAATTTTACACATACAAATCAAAATTAATGCAACTCGAAATATTATATAACAAATTAAATGAGATTTTTATCTAACATTTAGTATATTGCCGGAAATTTTTTTATAAATCTTATTCTCTTTTTATGCACATAGATATTAAAGAATGAGTAAAAAAAATATCTAAATATGTTTAAAAGTATCTAATATTATATGTGTTAACAATGTTACAATCAAAAGACATTAATAATACGCAGACTATTATATAACATATGTGAAAGTATTAAAATATTTTATATTATTATTGAAAAATGTGAAATTACCTCAATTTTGTCTAGACTATTTTATAAGAAAAATATATATACTTAAAGTTAGCACACACACACACACACACACACATATATATATATATATATATATATACTTAAAATTTGCCCAACTAACATGTTTAAAAGTATATAAAATTTTATATATAAAACACGTTTAAAGTTTACATATTTTACAAAAATTAGACTGCTCTCAGTTTATATAAAGTTTGTTGCTCTCATATTCGGATAACGTATTATGCATTTAATGAAAGCACCCTACGATACAAATTTATAAATATTAATTAAAATAATTTTCTAAATTATATAAAATTGAAATAACAAAGGTAAATATTACCTGTTCATCATGAAAATGCGTTACAGCTCTCCCGTTCGTGATGGGTTTCAATAATGCGGACTGCTCGTGATGGGTTTCAATAATGCGGACTGCTCTCAGACGCAGAAAAGGTTTGTTATAAATATTAATTAAAATAATTTTCTAAATTATATAAAATTGAAATAACAAAGGTAAATATTACCTGTTCATCATGAAAATGCGTTACAGCTCTCCCGTTCGTGATGTGTTTGAATAATGCGTACTGCTCGTGATGGGTTTCAATAATGCGGACTGCTCTCAGACGCAAAAAAGGTTTGTTATAAATATTAATTAAAATAATTTTCTAAATTATATAAAATTGAAATAACAAAGGTAAATATTACCTGTTCATCATGAAAATGCGTTATAGCTCTCCCGTTCGTGATGGGTTTCAATAATGCGGACTGCTCTCAGACTGCAAAAAAAAAAGTTTGTTTCTTTTGTGAATGTACCCCATCTGGAAGCATTATATATCAAGTGTACCCAGCCTGGAAGCATTATATTTATCAAGTGTACCCAGCCTGGAAGCATTATATTGTATATGCGATGAAAAATTATTCTCTGTATTTTTTTTCTCTGAACTCGTGAATGATGAGTTGTAATGGTGGTAGTGAATATCCTTTTATACAATTTTTTATTAACAAAGGTGATAAGATAATTATGGATTGTATTTGGATAGATTTTAAATACCATGATTTTTGGGATGCAACAACAAAATATGCAATCACATGTATATATCTTATCACGTTAAAGGTATATCCATCCTTAAAAAAAGGGAAATATATAATGCCTTAATTAAAGGAATTTGTGTATTTTCGTAACAGATTTGCTTAATTAATGGGATCTGATACTTAATTAACGGGAATACCAATTACATAATCCTATTCACGATTTCTTTTTTTAAAATTTGATTGAGATTACATAAATAGAAAGTCAAAAGTCAACTCAATTTATTTTAAGTTTCTAAAAATGATTTTTACATCAACCTTTTTAGATATATATAGATTGGGCGTATTTTCCCCAGAAATTCTATGGTGTTCATATGGGTACTATATGGTGCCATAATCTCACGATCCAACGCCTAATATCCATTGTGAAATTGATAGAATGGATATTAGGCGTTGGATCGTGAGATTTATGGCACCATATGGTGTCCATATGGGCACCATAGAATTTCTGGTATTTTCCCTTGGGATTGGTTAAATAAATTCGGTCCAATGTGTTTTGTGTTTTTTTGGTGTTTCTTTCATTTGTTCTGCTTTTTGCGTGTGTTTTATGTCTTTTTGGTTGAGTGAACGGGTGCTTAATTACAAAGTAGCTATTTGATGTAAATTTGAAAAAAAAAAAAAAAAAAAAAAAAAAAAAAAAAAAAAAAATAGTCGTGTATCGAACCAAGCCTCATAGTCCAAGCAATTTCTATGGTAATTGAGCCTCTCGAGATCTCAACGAGCGACCAACCCAATCTATGGACTCTCTTTGAGAGCTTCGCGGCCTGAGAAGAACAAATGTTATTTCTACGTATCATGACGAATTTTTGGGCTCTCTTTGAATCTGTTTAAATATGGACATACCTAGGGGTGTTCACGGTCCGGTTTTAACTGAAAAAAAACCGTCAATTCGGACCGCGGATCGGTTAAATGGTCAGTTAAAAAAGTCTTAAGAAATCCGGTGGTTAATTTTTTTAAAAATCTGGAATAACCGGTCCGGTTAACGGATTACCTGCGGCAAACCGCTGGATTAACCGGACCGGACCAGTAAATATTAAAAAACTATAACAAATATATATATACATTCGTCATTCACTATGACCAACAAATACAATGCATTCACTATATTTGCTTTGCTCTTATTATTTCAGGTGTATAAACTGACTGAAAAATGAATGCTTGCTTGGGTTCAGTTTGCATAATTTAATCTTCATCATTTTTGTATTTTTATGTTTATGGGACGAAATGTATATTTTTATGCTTATGGGATGAATTAGGTATATTTTTATTTCATTATTATTGTTTTTCTTAATTTTTAGGCCCAAATAATCTCTGTCGGGCTCAAAATAAAAAAAAAAGTCCAAAATGAAAAAAAATAAAAATTGAAGGCCCAAAACAAGAATTTTGGATTTAACAAGTTAACCGTCAAACCGGACCGTCCAATGCGGTCCGGCTTGTGGTTGGTTAAAAAATAAAACCGATCCGATTATGGACAAGAAAAAAAATTAACCGTTAGGTCTGGTTTGGTCATGGTTTGGGCTAAAACCGGACCAATCCGGACCGTGAACACCCCTAAACATACTAATTAATGGGATCAACCTTGAACACACTTAGAACAACTCGGCGAGATCCAAAGGCTCTGAACACCAAATTTGCTTGTAAATAATTTTCTTTTGTAATTACTTCATTTTTTGCTTTTCCTTACGATTGGATTCTTGGAGTACTCTACATGCGGATTGAATTCTTTCATGGTTCGAATTGGGTAGAAATGTTCTAATTGTATTGTCTATATGTTCAGTGAAAAAAAAAATCAGTATTTGCATATGTTCGAACATGTGTTACGTAAAAGTATTGGGTGCGACTCTATAGGTTTTTGTGTATGCTTTTACTTACTCGTTTATGTTTAATCATCACTACGAGAGTTATTGAGAGTGAACCATTAGACATTTTAAGGCGAGAGCCTCTATCTCTAGACCAAACAATCATACTCTTGATGTATATTTAGAATTAGATGAAATTATTCTGGCTGCCTAGACATTCTTCTACTTCTCTATTTATTTTCAAGCTATTTTATAGTTTGTTCTAGTTCTTGGTAGTTTTTAGATGAATTCTCCACATTAAATGAAGAAATATAGAAGAGATAAATGTACAAATATCAAATGTCATATGAATATTAAAAATAATATAAAGAATTATTTAATAATAAAAACTTTTCTTTTTATTTTTTTCATATTAGGTATAAATTTTTATCAGTGTCTCGATCTTACATCCAAGTAGCAAATATAAAGATGAAATATAACCATTTTTTTTAAAGTATGAATACTAGTCGATGACACAATTAATCTTAATCACATATTTTATTTAATAAAACATAATGTACAATTTTTTATACCGAGAAATCATTTCTAGAATTTCATAAATGAATTGTCAAATTCAAGATATTGTTTTATGTGTACTAGAAACTATTTCTGAAATTAAAAAATAATAATTATATAATTCAAAATATTATTTAAACGTTCGAGAAAACACCAGAAATCATTTCTGAAACACTAGAATTATTTTAGATATAAATGATTTTGAGTGAAAAGAGAGAGGATATGTTATTTTGGTCATTTCATAGGACAAAATGACTATTTTTTAAACTTACACAAAAAGTGACTACATTGCATTTTATACAAAATTATGAGAGACTATTTATTAGTATTATCACATTTTTATCACAATATACGTACGTTGAACCGAACGAGTCAAACTTGGACATTTTGAGCTCGTGTTCATTTACATTCGGACACTGTTCGTGTTTGTTGTTTATTTTTCAAGCAAAAAATTGTGTTCGAACTCATTCGTATAATTGTTCGTCAGAGTTCGAGTTCTTTCGTATTCAAATAATTTAAGAATCAAGCTTTCTAAATATTCTTGATTAACGCAAAAATCTATTTGTTTGAACTCGAGAATAAAAATAAAATAAAAATATTCTAATATTTTAGAGATTTTATTAAAAAAAACCATGTATATATACAAAAAATAAAATAAAATTACATTAAATTAATGTTCCCGATCTTTATTAAACGTTCTCGAACAAACTCGTGTTCGTTCGTTTATTAAACAGGCTTAATTTTCTATTCAAATTCAACTTGATTAATAAACAAATGAGCTTTTAATTGCGAACGTTCCGTTCGTTAACAGCCCCACTAGCACTAGTTAAATGGAATGCACTTGAAAATAGATTTTTAACAACAGTTAAGAAAACAAGTAGAGGACAAGCTTACGAAAATTTAAAGAAAATAAAAGAAAACACACCCATTTNAAATTTTATGGTTTGCCAAAAACTTTTCCAGCAACAATGGCAGCTCTCATTGCCTGGCTAATGGATTTGACAACTCCACCAACTTCGCAAGTGTTGCCTTTGAACGAGGGTGCACCTGATCTCATGAACGCCTCCACACACCCAAGAAATTCTTTATTGCACTTCTGACTCAAATAATCATCTGCACCACACATTAAAATATATAAATTAGTAAGATCACTTCTTTACTAATGCACGACTATTGTATTAGTAATTATATGTTAATCTCCTCCAACATTATTTGTTGACATATTAACTCATGCTCGTCTCCAGGAGAGGAGAACGAGAGTCAGAGATATATATTAGTTTAAATCTTTTTTCACTTATTTAATATTTCTTTGTATAATTAGTAGCTTAATTATACTTTAAAAATTAAAACACCAAATATTACACAAATTATTATTATTATTTTTTTAATGAAACTTACAGCGCATCTACCCTGGTTATAATAGTAAGTGCCTATCTTTTATTTTTGGAATAATAAGTGCCAGTTTACGAGGCACTGATTGGCTGTTCTTTGTCATATTCTCACCATCTTGAGTTATTTTAATTTCTTTGTAAGAGTTGCATATGAAAATGTGTGACCCACACGTTTTAGCAGTTCTTTTTCTCCCCAAATTTTAATACAGAGGATAATTGTTAATTATAGTGTCCGCAAGCCTTAAAAAATATAATTGATCATAACTTCACTTACATAACTACAATAAAATATGTGAAGTTTAACAATTAATAGAGCAACCAAATTGATCTTAATAGTTATAATATTTAGTCANAAAAAAAAAAAAAAAAACTTACTTCCCATTTTAGCTATGCATTGATCATGATGCATACAGCAGGCGTCCAGGCGGTCACAGGGCTGCTCCCCAGGGCACCCACTATACAACAGCCCACAATATTTCCCATATCTCAAAAATGGTGGAGCTGCAAATATTAATTATTACATCAAAATAAATTAATTAATCATACCAAAATTTCAATTATTTCATCAAAATCCACTTTAAAATGGAAAAAAAAAGAGAGAGAGAGAGAAAGACAATATTAATAATTAATTAAATAGATCAAAAGAGGGGTGCCAATTACCATCACAAAACATTGATTCACATGTCCTACTGCACTGTTTGAACTGCACCACAAATTAATTCAAGATTACAATAAAAATTATAAAAAAAATGGAATCAAATTAGTCTGATATTCATCGGGCCTAACAATTAGACAATCATTACTTTTTCATCAAATATGCATACTTAGATTGTGTAACAGAAAACATGATAGGTCGACTCGTCTGACGGTTAGGTCATCTCGTACAAGAATTTGAAATGATATGAGATATTTAGATTGTTACCAGGTCAAGGCCAGCATGGGCATGGAGGCCAATGTCAAGGGCATGAGTGGAAATAACTGCAGAAATTGTGAAAATCAAGAGAATGATTGGGGATTTTGATGATAAATTCAATGCCATTGATGATGATTATAGGGAAACTGAGGGAATGGAAGCTCTGATTTGTATGAGCAAAAATGGTTGGTTGGGTCTCACAAAGAGAATGTAAGGCTCAAGAGGTTTTTTGCAGAATAGAGGGGGGCAAATTGGTCTTTTTGCCTTGTATAGTGTGTTTGTGAAATGGTTTCTTTGTCATGTAACGCCACCCGTGACATGCGGTTTGTATTGTAGTGTGCTGTTTTACATTCCCATTGAGAAAGGGAATCAAAATTTGTATTTGGTTTTTTTTATTAGTATTATTATTATTTTTTTTTATCATTTTTTTTTTTAACTTTTTATGGTTGTCGTTTTATGAAAAAATAAATAATAAAAAATGGTTGTCGTTTTTGTCTGGTCAATAATCTACAAAGTGGATGATTAGAACAAATAGTGGGAAAAACAAATTGTTAACACCACCCTTGTGTGTGCCATCTGAATTGTATTTTGTTTTGAAAATCCATCTACAACCGATGGGTTTCCTGTTTGCAGGAAGAAGCACTATATCCCAAGTGTGATTTCTAATCAAAGCAGCATATTCTGATTCCATGGCAAATTTTCAAGAATGATACAAGGGTAATGATGCATGGTCATGCTGCTCAGTTTGCTTAGAAATAATAGAAAATTTGTAAGTAAAAATGTGTTAAGTGAATATTACATTTCTGGAAATAATGATCTTTCCAGTTTTAAGGAGTACTCTATACCATTTAAATTGAGAGATGTAACCCAAAAACACCCCAGGTTGAGACCTAATGAGATCCAACTTATCACTAACATAAGGCCTTAAGTGAGGAAAACATTGACATCCAAAGACCCTAAGGTGATTGTAGTTTGGTGTTGTTCCATATAGCTTCTGGTAAGGTGACATGAAAGAAAGGGTTTTATTAGGAATCCTGTTGATGAGATATATGGCTGTACCAAAAGCCTGCTCCCAATATTTCTTAGGAACATTAGAAAGAGACATCATACTGAGAGCTACCTCTATAACTTGTCTATGCTTTCTCTCAACCAAACCATTTTGTTGGAGAATGTAGAGACATGAGGTTCTGTGAATAATGCCATTTTCTGAAAATAATGAAAGTAAAGGCCTGAATTCAGTTTCTCCACCACTTTGTACGATTTTAATCTTGTGACTGAATTGATTCTCAACAAGGTTTTTAAAATGAGTAAAGGCTTTAACGGTGTCTGACTAATGTTGAAGGAAATAAATCCAAGTAAATTTAGTGAAATCATCTACAAAGGCAATGTAATAAAGTGAGTTTGAGGTTGATTTAATTGGGGCTGGCCCCCATAAATCTATATGCACAAGTTTAAGTGGATGTTGAGTAGTGTGAACTGAAGTAAGAAAGGGAAGGATATGAGATTTTGCTTGCAAACAATCTGAGCAACAAATATTTTTATTTCCAGCATAAGGAAGATTACAAGCATATAGTGCCTTTTTGGTAACATCAAAAGAAGGATGTCCTAATCTCCTATGCCACAACTCTAAATCCTCAACAGAACTGAAATAACAAAGGTTTTTCTTATCCAAATCTTTGTCTTGGTTGGAGGCTCTATTGTTCAACTGGAAAGTGTAAAGACCCTCTTTAAGAATCCCTCTGAGAATTTGTGCTCCTGTTACTTGATCCTTCACAACACATAAATCAAGAAAAAATTCAAAGAGCACATTGTTATCCTTAGCAAATTGAGCAACACTAATAAGGTTTTTGGCAATTTTTGGAACATGCAAGAGGTTATTTAATTTAAATGTGTGTTGAGGTGTGTAGAGGTGACCCTTATCAATATGAGGAATGTCTAGTCCTAAACCATTTCCTATCTGAAGCTTGTTATTGCCTGTGTAATCTGAAGCCACGCTAAGATTGAAAAAATCATTGGTGATGTGATGTGAAGCTCCTGAATCTGGGAACCACTCAGTGTCACTTGTGCCATCCTTTGTTGCATACATAACTGAAGAATGAGTGACACTCCTATTGTCACTGAAGTTTCTTTGTGTCTGATTTTGAGAGTTAGGCACAAAATCTAGGTTGAATCTGATATAGCATCTATCAGCAGTATGGTTTCTGTAACCACATATTTGACATTGAATTCTTGACTGGGAGTTTCTTCCTCCTCTTTTTCTACCATTTCTACCTCTGCCTCTGAAATTTCCTCTACCATTTCCCCCTCATTGAGTAGTTGTTGTGTGAAGGCTTGTTGTTGTTCTGAACAGCCATGTTAGTTGAGGGCAAACTCATACTCTCTGCAGCTACGGAAGCAGCCTCCAGTCTACTTTCACGAGTGAGGAGAAGAGACATAACATCCATCATTGTAAGTGTATCAGCCCTAGCATTAATGCTCACCACAACCGCATCATAATCAGAGATTAAACAACTCAAGATATGCATTATTTGATCTTGTTCAGAGATAATATGGCTACCAGCAGCTAGGGTATCACAACAAACTTTGATTTTGTTCACATATTCTCTGATGCTCAAGCTTCTTTTTTGATGTTCTAAAGCTGAATTCTAAAATGCTGGTTCTAGCCCTAGACTGAGTAGAGAATGTAGATTCTAAGCTTTTCCAGACTTTAGAGGAACCGTTCTTACCAACCACCGAGATCAATACTGATTCTGATAGAGAGGAGAAGAGCCATGAAGCAAGGAGCTGGTCTTGTCTCTACCAGCTCGTATAGCTTGGGTTCACTTGCAACAAGCCTTCCTCTGGTCCTGGAATGAATCTGGTGGGAGGAACACTGGTTCCATCGAGAAATCCTTCAAGTCCATAGCGTCTGGTGGTGATCAAAACCTGCTGGCGCCATACTAAATGATTCTCATCTGTGAGCTTGGTTGATATTAACTGATTGTGAAGAGGTATAAACTGTATAGAAGAAGAATCTGTAGTTTGGGCCATGGTAAAGGAAGAATGAACAGATCAAAGCAAGTTAACCTTGCTCTGATACCATGTTGGAATAAAAAAGGATCATTAGAAGAAGAAAGAAAGCTAAAAGCTTGATTGAATAAATCGAAGAAAATGAACTCTGATTCTTATCGAGAGTCTGTGCTCTTAGGAGCTTAATACAAAGGAAATAAATATCCCTAGGAACTCTCTAGAAACCTAGGGGATAAACATCAATAAAATGATGAATAGAATAATCCTAACAACTAGCTACAAGACAAGAGCAAATAACAATTTTGGAATATATCCAAAAAAGAAAAATAGTACAGGCTCATCCTTCTTTATCTGATGCATTATGATCGTGCGTCACAACGCGGCAAATTAGAATTTTTATTTTTCCTCAATTAACCTCTACTAACTAGTAGTAACGGCAAATAAGGGTCGATCCCATGAGGTGTGTGAATCAAATTGTGATATTCTTGTATTAATTGAAATTATTATGAAAGCAATAAATGGGGGGATTGGGTTAAAAACTAAAATACTAATAAAGCAAATAATATCTAAACAATGAAAATAAAAATAAAAATAAATAATAAATAAATGAAGAAAACTTTCTAGTTCACGGTTCCGTCTACACCTCGACCAACTCGTCTAATCAATTTTGGTATCGAATCTCGCTATCTGATGAAATTACTAGCCCTAGGTAACGACACGGTCTGCTACTCGAATTTTTCCTTATTTTTAATTTAACCGCGAGACGCTCTACGATTAAACCTGACTTTTTGCACAGTCCAGAAAAACGTTTTCAAGATTTAACATAATTAGCCGCTTTACGAATTAGAAAAATAGACTAGACTAAGTAGTGAACTCAACCGCGTTCGTTCACTTAATAGGTTGTATTATCTCCGGTAGTTACCATCTTCCGGTCGCTCTTATGAATTAAACCCCACAACAATTACGGATTGCAAGTTCAATTCTAACATTAGACATGAAAAATAACAATTACAGGTTGCAAGTTCAATTCTACCATTAGACATGAAAAATCTTATCTAGGTGATCAATCTAAATAAAATCAAACACATCATGGTTGCTTAGTCAAAATAACACAAACAATTTCAAAAGCAAAAATCAATTAAACATCGTCAAGTCGTAGGGTTCGACATTCCCAGAACTAGAAACAAAAACTAGCCTAACATAATAAAAAGTAAAACAAAAAGAATAAAATTATCCCCTTTCATGTGCGGCGCAGTCTCCCTCGATTTATCGGTTTCCTGCGTCTTTTCTTCCCTTCATATCTTTTTCTGTTGCCTGCGTGAAAATAAGCACTCCCAGGCTTGTACCCCTTTAGGGCCTGCGTATGATGTCTCTGTTTCCAAAACAATGATGAATAAATAATAGTTGCCATCAATTAATTCCTCAAGCTACTTGAATGATTCTATGGGCCAAGTCAAATTCTTCTTTTCCTCCCAAGGTTGACCACTAATTTCCACCAGCCCAATCTTTTCCTTTGTTTAACACATGGGCCCACAAGTTGAATAATATGGGCTCAATTTTTGTACATGGTACCAATGGGCCAAAAAATAATCTGGTATGGGGCACCCTCCATATTCTGTCGGCTGTGATTTCGTATGATATCCCCTCGTCGAAGAAAATACTCCAATATCTTAAAAATAAAACATAAAAATATCAAAGTACAAGAATCCATCCAAAAAAATAATTAAGTCGAAAAATATATAAATGCGATAAAATTAAGCATATAAAAATACGCTAATAAATATATAAAGTACAGCACTTTTTTCCGACCAATCACATTACTGAGAGCATTAAATGAGTCTGCATGGACATGAACACGTAGGATTAAGTCTATGTTTGGTAAAATTAGCTGATAAGCTAGCTTATAGCTTATTTGTATTTTTTTAGCTTATAGCTTATAGTTTATGACATATAGCTGAAAAGCTAGCTTATATGATAAAAGTGTTTGGTAAATTAGCTGATAAACTAGCTGAAATAAAAAATTCTACTAGCTTATTTGAAAAGCTACCTAAAGTAGCTTATGAGATAAGCTCGAGCTTTTTAAAAAAACTCGTCCTACCAATCGAGAGTTATTTGAATATAGGGAGCTTATACGCTAACAAAATAAGCTATAAGCTAGCTTATTTGGCTTACCAAACACATCCTAAGTGCTAACAGGAGGCCTTCCTAATATCCTAAATTCCTAATAGATTAGGCATATCCTATATATTAGGGGGGTGTATTTAATTGGACTTCAAGTGACATTTTGAGACTATTTAAGATATGAAATTTTTTAAGATTTTTAGATTTCGGAGAAATTCTATGAAATCTTAAGTCTAGATGTGGGATTTGAAGTGAGATTTCGTATAAGAATTTTTATTTAGAAATTCAACCAAAATTTTAAAAATCTTAACAAATCCTAGTCTGAAAGAAGAAAAATTCCTCACCTTCTTCCTCTCCTGTTTGCTTAAAATGTTTGAAAAATTATTTCATTTTACCGCTCAAATCATTTTTTCCCTCCTAAAATTTTGTTTGAAATTTTTTCGAACATTTGAAATTTTTTCATTCCGAAATTCAGTATGTTTTGGATGAGTTCAATATATTTTGGATGAGATTCCTTCCATATCGGATAAATTCAAGTTCCTTTTGATTAGGGAAAATAGATTTTTATTTTAGCAGCATATTTGACTTCTTCTTTTTTTTTTTCAACCGATTATGTTTATCTTTTGTTTAAAATTGAAAAAAAAAATTGTTTAAAGGAAATATTACAAACAGATTTTTTGGGTACATTCCATTTTATCAAAATTTGTTTGGATTTATATTTTTATTTATTAATATTTTGAAAGAGAAACAATAAATGTTTATCATAGCTTTTATTTAAAAAATAAATTTGAATTATCATACCTTATACTTTATAGGAAATTCAAAATTACATGCGTGAGGACAACTGGTCGATGGTGGAGGGTGAAACTCCCTTTGAAGCCAGAGGTCAGGGGTTCGATCCTGACTATCGTGGAAAATGGGGGTGAGGCTCCCTATTTTCCCCCAGAGGATTAGTCCCACCCTCTGGTGGTGGAAAGCTAGGCTCGCAGCTTGAACTCTGTATGGACCCATTCTCCCGACCGTTGGTCGGTCTCCCTAGGTGGGCTTGGAGGTGGCTCGGGTGCGGCATCGATATCCCGGATGAACGTGGGGACACCTCTGGGTAGAAAAAAAAAAAAAAATTAAACGTTTATTATTTATTTTTTCATTATGTGATATAATCGAAATTCGATATTAAAATTTTAAATTCAAACATTTAAAGAAAAAGATCCTAAGCAGATTTTTTGGGTACATTTCATTTTGTCTTAACTTTCATATAATCACATTTTAACAAATTAATTAATACAATTACAATTATATACTGGAATTTTTAAAATATAATTAATATAATATTTTAACTAATTAATCTTTTGTCTAACCGAATTTATCTTATTAACAAACTTGCCAAAATTTTTGAAATTAAAATAGTAAGATTATTCTTACGGGTATACTTACCAGAATATTAAAGACTTTAAAAACGTTTTGAAAACAAATTTGAATTATTCCGTCTTCTACTCTATTTGAAATTCAAAATTAAATTTTTAAACATATTCATAAATATTATTATTTATTTTTCCTTATGTGGTATAATGTAAATTTGGTTATATAATTTTAAATTCAAACATTTAAAGGAAAAGACCACGAACAGATTTTCTGGTTATATTTCATTTTATCTTAAATTCCATATAATCACAATCCTAACAAACTAATTAGCATAATATTTTTTTACCTACATTTATATAATCGGATTTCTTAAAATATAATTAATATAATAGTTTAACTATTTAATCATTTGTATAACTTGATTTAACTCATTAACAAACTTGCCAAATTTTTTTGAAATAAAAAAAAAAAATGGATGATTTTTATTTGTAAAATAATAAAAAAATAGTTTTACTTTAAAGTCTGGATTATTTCCATTATTTTTTGTACGTTAACAATCATATAGATTTGATAATATTCCTTAAATAAAAAATATTGTATAAAGAAAAGTGTTTAATAATATATATTTTTTATTTTTTGCATTTATTTTAATTTCATAATAGACGAGATGTGAAAAATATAAATAATTATATTTAAAATAAAGTTAGAGGAAGTCTAAAGCATGACATTACAAACAAAGGTAGAGCATTGAGAACACATTTTATTAAAACCTCTTTTCTAGCAGTGGATAAGTATCTGTTTTTCCAGCTGATCAATCTTTTTTTCACTGCTTCAGTGACAAAGCCAAAGACCTCCTTCTTAGATTGGCCAATGCCAAGTGGTAGCCCCAAATACCTCGTAGATCTTTGCACTTGGATTCCAGGAAAAACTTGAGATACTTAAGACTGCAGAGCCATACTAGTATTTTTGCTAAAAAAGACTGAGGACTTGGCAATATTCACTCTCTGCCCTGAGAAGTGTTGGTATCTTGAAAGGATAGATTGGAGAACTTGAGCTTGGTATCTGTCAGCCTTACAAAAAATCAGAAGGTCATCAGCAAAAAGCAAGTGTGTGAGAACAGGTGCACCTCTGGCCAAAGAAACACCTCTGAAAATCCCTCTCTCCACTTCAGCAGTAATCAAAGCTAATAAAATTTCAGAGACGAAGATAAATAGATAGGGAGACAGAGGGTCTCCCTGGCTAATACCTCTTTCAGCTGAGATATACCCACTGGTACAACCATTAATAATAAAGGAGTAGGAGACTGTAGTCACACATTCCATGATCTACTTCACAAACTGAGCTGCAAATCCCATTTTAAGCATAGTAAGTCTGATACAGTGCCATTCTATCCTATCAAAAGCCTTCATCATGTTAAGTTTTATAGCCATAAATGCATGTTTGCCTGTTCTGTATCTATTCAAAAAAATGCAGCCCCTCATTAGCAATAACAACATTATCAGTCAGCTGTCATCCAAGTAAGAAGGCAGATTGAGCTTCATTCACACAGCCATGGATGCAATTCCTCAGTCTACTAGCAAGTATTTTGGAAATTAATTTATAAACCACTGCACATAGACTAATGGGTCTGAATTGACTGAGATTTTCAGGTGCAGCACATTTTGGAATCAATGTGGTTAAGGTGTGGTTCCAGTAGTTGAGAAGCTTACCAGATTGAAAGAAGCTCACCACAGCAGTGCAAAGATCATTCTTGATTAGAGGCCAGACGTGTTGGAAAAATAAGGCTGGCATGACATCTGTACCAAGAGACTTCCCAAGATTCATAGAGAATAATGCTTGCTTGATTTCATCCTCCTCAACTGAGGCCAAGAGCTCTGAGTTGGTTTCATCTGATATTGAGGAAGGGATATTCTGCAATAAGGACTCACCACCATAGGATCCTTCTGAAGTGAATAAGGAGCTGTAGAAGGATTCTACATGCTTCTCAATCTCTTCTTTGGACTCACAAATTGTCTGTTGGTCAGTGATAAGCCTGCTTATGGCATTGTGTCTTCTTCTCTGCATAACCCAAGCATGAAAAAAATGGGTATTTTGGTCCCCATCCTTCAACCATTGTGCCCTGGCCTTCTGCTTCCAGAATAATTCCTCAGATTGATTTGCTTTGTCAAGCTCCATTTGTAGCCTATCCCACTCTTCCCAGTTTCTGTGGCCACCTTCCTCTCTCATTTCTTCAAGCCTCATGGATAATCTAGATAGCTGAGCCTTTTGAGTGGATCTGAAGTATTTGATCCACTGAAGTAAGCCATTCCAGAGAAGCATAGCCTTTGTCCAAAGTTTCCTCTACAAAACCTTCATTTTCTCTATTGTTTCCCCAATTGAATACACACCTCTTAGTCCCTTGTCTCTTGTTTCTGCCTTCTGGCATGATGTGTGCCAAATTAGTCTAGTTTTTCTAGAATAGAAACCAAATTGGTGTACCTGAACTAAAATTTTATCGGTAAAATGTAGACATGTTAAACACATGCATGCACTTAGAGAAAAGTAAAATTAACTCCCCATGATCTTACATACATACACATAACAATCATTAAAACATAACAATCATCAAAGCAAAGGTTCGTAACATAATCTTCTATAGCTCACACACACTTAGTCTTATTAATATTTACCCTTTTGAAGCTTTTTACATACATTTGTGAGCAGAAAACATGGATTTAGGTATACTACTACACTACATATGGCAACCGATGTTGATAAGTTACAAGAGCTTCCATGCTTGTCCCCCATTCATGTTGAACTTTTTGAGCCTACCAAAAATCATAACTACTATTAGGACGATTTTTCCCTCGTCGCTCCACTTTCCAGAAAAGCCATACCATTTGTTCACGCAGTTCCGGTGGGGCCTTATTAGACGGTCGCAACTGTACCCGGTTGTGAAACCTACATTTCCGTATGCACTGCAATTGTACAATAAAAAATCAATAATAAATTTTTAATATCCTCAAATAAATAAATAAGGGCCACAAAAAATATGTGATTGGGAATATGCATGTTCGTGTTGGGTGATGCGGACTTCAATTAATTACCCAAACCTTTTTTTCCCATTTATTGGGTTTTTTAAGCAATGAATTAAAGTTGGTAATAAGTATGTTCTCTTTTTGTTTCATTTCGCATTTCAGTTCATCTGATAAATGATGCGGTTGTGTGATAATGACTTATTATTACACGTCTTTATTTAGTTTAATAAAATGAAGCACGAAATATACGAAAATGAAACCGGAGAAGTGGTCTCATCTAATGTTTTGGGAATCATTGTATAATAAAGTATTGGGAATATGCTCTTATGAACAATATCTTGAATCAAGCATATATGTGTGAGTTCTTTTGCACATTTGTGCGCTTTTATATAAAATCTCTATCGTTTCAAATTTGGATTCCATAATTTTGTGGTGAATTTAAGTGAGAAGTGGCAGTTTATCAACCCAGATATAAAGCATTTATGTTAAATAAATATGTTTAAATCTTGTTGCACATTACGGTTTGACTTGGATTCCATTAGTAATTAAAGTGGCATCCATTAGGGGCACTATCACTATATGGAGTAAGCAAATCATCATAAATACACAATTCATATATCCACGCTTATAGTGTATGCTTTTAGTAATATGGTGTTTACTAAAACAGTATACAAGTCAATTTTAATATGAATGACCATTAAGCTGCAAGATTACATTAATTATGAAAACCCGTGCTTCATGCAGGGATAAAAATTTCAAATATTGATTTGTTCAAAATTAAGCAAATCTTTTAATCTTTTAAAAGAAAACTAATAAATAGGAAATCAAGCAATGTAATGCATGATATATCGTGTTTATCTATATAAACTAGTAATCAACATGTGCATTTGCACAAAGAAGAATACTTTAAAAATATAACAATGTAAAAAAATAAAAATAAATTATAATTTAATTCATAAAAAAAATATGAATTAAGAAAATAATTCTCAAAATTGATTTTTATCAAGTAATTGACATGGAAGAGCCGTTACAACCATTTTCTTTATGCTAATACACCCGACCATTTTCACGAGTGGTGTGACTTAAAATTTGAGTACAGGTTTGTAACTCTCTTGATTGGTTTATGCTCATAATTTATGGCATTCAAGCAAGTTATTTTGTAACTTAAAAATAAAATTGAATGTTGAAAATTTTGGAGGGAGAATAAAATTTAATGCATGATAACTTAAAAATGAAATTTAATGTAAAAAATTTTGGAGGGAGAATAAAATTTAATGCATGATAATATAATTTAATGCTTTGTTGCTCCTCTTTATATATATATATATATAGATTTCGTATTACTGTAAATTAATAGCCTTGACTAACCAAATAATAACTCTTACATAACTTTTCTACAACGGTTGTTTGGGCACCAAGTTTACAGTTTTGCTATGGAGCCATCGGATGGCTCGACTTATAGAGTCATCCATACTTATTCACCAATTATGTATTGACACATGTCCTGCAATAAATACACTTTGAACATGTGTCAACACATTAAGTGGTGGATGGCTCCATAAGAAAACCATCCGATGGCTCCATAGAATTTTTGACCAAGTTTATAGGTTAAAAGAGTAGTGACATTCTAAGTTCTTGTGTTACACTAATATGATTGAATAACTATAGTTTGATAAGTCACATTAAACACATGCTCGTATACCAGAAATAATGTTTATTCGTATTTTTTTTCTTTTTGTTTTAATTTTATTTTGTAGATATATTTCTTAATTCAAATATACGTGTTGTACTAGTTAGAATTATGTTTACCTTATCACCTCGACTATGATATTCAACACACTGAAGTTCATAGGATCGTTTTTCAGGCTCTTCCTCTCCGTAATGCATATGATAATAATGAAGATGGCAAGATAAGATAACTGTGAAAACAAGATGTTTTCTGCAATTCTTGTTCTCTTAATTTCCTTTCTTCCCAATTTGGAGTCCTCATGAATTTGGTCATCTCTCTTAATAGGTACAAATGAAGCGTATGGTGGAAGGTACCTGTTCAGGCACATTTTGCACAATCAGAATTAGGGGGGAAGGGGAATGTAACACTTTTTAAGATAATAAAAAACTATTGTCGATTAAAACATGCGCGTACAATCGTGACTATACCATATATAATTAGAAAACATCCTAATGTGTAGTCACATATATTTAAGTTACATCATTTCTATGCATCCTAATGTGTAGGCATATATAATTAAGTTACATCATTTCTATGCATTGAATATGATTATCATGCCCTTCGACCATTAGATAGATCGATCTGTCATATTTTTTAGTAGTTAGACGGTTAGACAAGTCGGTCTTAGACCATTAAATAGATCGATCTATCATATTTTTTAGTAGTTAGACCGTTAGATAGGTGGGTCTGTCATATTTAATTTCATGCATCTTTGCATTTAAGTTGTCATGAATGTAAGAGAATTAATTCAATTGGTACGGAATATTGGACCATATCCTTTCAAAGGACTCCACCTAACTTTTACTTTCAAAGTGACAATTTTTCAATTCGTCTCTTGTTATCCGATTAAAAACCTCCATATATACTATTAGTTTATTGTACTTGATTATTTATTACCATCTACATTATAAACACAATATGCAAATCATCATGTATGTCAATCAACTAAACTAAATCATGCATAAAACCCTAATCTTATACACAATTTCAACTTCATATTTTTTAGCTTTATGAGAGCGAGAGATATAGATACTCACATCATGACCACAAAGAACGCCAAAATTGCGGGCGCTATAGTTGAGAGATCGACTATGGTCTCGCCCGCGTGCCTCGCGTTTACGCACAAAAAAATCACCCCCACCACTTTCTGGTAGCTACCGAGTCCACTCAAACCAATCGAGTCCCACTCCATGGCGCAGAGCAAAACGAACCCGATCAATATAAACCCGAACACGGTACCCACAAGAAACGGGATGTGGGCCCGGGGAAGAAAATGTGTGTATCGGGCCTCATTCTCGTTATGCAACAAATACCGGGCCTCGGCCTTCTTGAACCTTTTCCCTACGGCCCAAACCGCGAGCCTCAAACCCGGAGGGAACAAAGTGTTCCCGAATAGGATTTGCGGGATCAAAATCAACAAGAGGCCTGAGTTCTTGCCGAACACTATCATGTTCTCGTTCGTGGGCACGAAGCCGCAATTCGAGAAAGACGAGACCGTGGTGAAAACCGCGAAAGTTAATATTTTGAGGCCCTTCCTCCGCAAAACGCCTCGCGCGCTACGAATCAGGGATAGATAGACCAATACAGAGAAAACGCCGAGAATGTGGAACACCAAAAGGTAACCCCACACAACAAAGCCCAAGAAGTTGATGGAATCGTACTCGATAAACGGGTTTTCGCCATCGGGCCGCGACCCGGGCCTAGAAATCGAACCCATCTCGATTTCTTCAGAAGAAATAAATGAGACGGGCCCAATTTTTTCCTCGCCTTTCCATGTCTCGACATTTTTTAGCCTCCTTAGGTGGAGCCCGAGCATGGAAGTGAAAACCTCACCACCAACGAACATCAAAACAGTCATGAAGATCAATTGGGAGTCAGAAAAGACTTCCATCTCGACCGTGGACATGCTCGAGACAGTGGCGGCCGAGACGGACGTGAAGAGCAAGTCGATGTCTCGAGGTGCGAAATTCGGTGATCTTGGGTTTAAGGATTTTAGGACCCCAAAACCCAAGAAAGGAAGGGAGATAAAGTAGAAAAGATAGATGAAAAAGGGGTTGACTTTGAAGAGAATGTCTCTGTAGTGAGAATGGATGAACAATTTTGCCAAGTTCCATGATTTTGTACAAAGGTGTTGCAGTTTTTTGCCATACCAAGTTAAACTATTCATCTTTTTTAAAGACTCAAATAGAGAATTTTGATGTTTTTTTTTTTTTTTTTTTTTTTTTCTTTAGGCTTTGCACCGAAACTGATATGGGAATGGGTATATATATAGGGAAAGTTTCAGTTGGGACAGTTACAGTTAATTCTGGTTTGCTAGTTGATAATTATATTAGTTTTTTCTTTCCCTTAAGTTTTACACAATCCATCGAAATTAATCATCCTACTAAATGATGGAATAGTGTTAGAGTCGTTAAATGAAACGAGTCGTTCATGAACTTGGTTAGGTTCGATTCGACTTGTTAAGATTCAAAAATAGAGAATTTTATGTAAGTTTGTATAGTTTGGCTTGTAACATTCGAGTTTGACTAATTAAGAATTTAGAACTCGAACTCGATTTGTAAATATTAATAAACGAATCAAACACGAACTCATGTATCGGCCCAATTGGATAAAAGCTCAAGCTCGAATTTGAGTATCAGAAGCTCGAACTCGATTCTTCTCATTTACAACTTTAATGTAATAAAGGACCGGGATTAATTTTATTCCTGCCTGACCAGGCCAGTAGTGAGACGAGGATAACACGTGGAAAAGAGATATCATAAGAACATATTAAAATAGGCAGAACGAATATGAATCAAAATAAATTCTTAATAGTTGGCGATCACAGTTTATATTCCTTATAAATAAATAAACTACATATTATGCACAACACAGAAAACTGATTCTAGAGGATTTATCGGACTTACGAGTCCCATATGTAATTGAAATTGTTATGCTTTATTATGAGATTTATTCGTTTTCTTCACCCAAATATTGAACCGGACAAGTCGATTCTACTTTAAATTGACTTCAAACCGGAGCTAGTTCAACTGGTCATTCGAGCCGGTCAACCATCAAATCGGTCAAGATTCGGTTAATCATATTGTAACATTGTTAACTCAGATATCAGAATTATCGTTTTTGTTAAGACCACATAAAATTATTCCAATGCAAACACAAATTTCGAAAGGCTTTAAGTTATAAACGGATTACAATGTCTTTTCACTTATAATTTGCAAATAATCCCTAATATTGACCCGAGAGCCCTGCATAAGTATTTGTAGAACAGAGAAGAAAAATGAAAAACAGGGGCAGCATGTTGAAGGCAAATAATATTTAGCTTCACTTGCTTTGCTGATGATTAGTACAAATTACAACAATGTTAACATCCTGAAGCAATATTATATATACACAAATAAATGACTGTTAAAAGATATTAGCAAAATTTAGTGGATAAGAACTCACAAAAGAAAAAGAAAAATAAAATACAACAGACCAATTTGGAGTGTGATAAAAAAAAAAAAAATATAATGTGGATTGAAAAAAGAAGAAAATGATTGTGTCTAACGAACCTCTTCTAAATAATAATGTCAGATACTTAAGGGTTTATTAGCCTTACCCAAAATCATTAGGCATACGAATCTATATATACATGTGGTTGATTCAAATAAAAACTAATGTTCGCGTAAAAATCGTATTTGATGTTATTTAATTTGTATGATCCTATTTTGAAAAAGTTTGTATATATTTAAAATAGTATGGTTTACCTCCACAAAAATTGTTCTTTATTCAATAAGGACATTTAGTAAATATTTGTTTACTTTTTTCTATTTTCTTTTGGTTATTTTTTTTTCCATCCATAGTGAAACTTTTGTTTTTATATTAGGTGATGTATATCAATAATTTTGTTTAATCTATTGATTGGTTATTTTTTTTTTCCATCCATAGTGAAACTTTTGTTTTTATATTAGGTGATGTTATATCAATAATTTTGTTTAATCTATTGATTGAATTTTCTAAAAAAAATAATAAACTACTTTATTTCTATTGATTACTTTTTTAGTGATGTGATATCATAATGTGATATTAAAATTTCCAAAAAAATTACAACCACACTTCTAGCTAGTATAAAGTTTTATTTGATTTGAAAATGGAAATTATCCACAATGTGATGTGATGTTAGTGTTTTTGGTTTGGGCCGTTTGACCTCTGTGAACCCGAGTGTCACCTTATTATCCCAATGGGATCCGACACTCGGGTATTACTTTGTTGGGGTCCTTGTAGTTGTTATTAGTTGTTTAGTCGTTTTAGTTGGTTAGTTTTAGTTGCGAATTTTATTCTAGCGTTGTTAGCCGGGACTCTAGGCGGTCTTCTGACCTGTCCTCTCAATTTTTCCGTTGTTGACTGTTGTATATTCAATCATTGGCTGCTGTGTATTCGCACATTTGTGCATTTTGATTTATAATATAATCTATCGTTTTGGGAGAAAAAAAAAAAAGAAAATAGAAATTAAGGGATATGGTAATAGATTAATCACTTCAAGGATAGTTATATATGAATTAAATTAAAATATTTTCTTAAGTGCCTAGATGAATATTTTTTAGCCTGTCGATGCCTGTTTTTTTCTTTCTATTTTTTATAAGTATTAACATATTTTAAAAAATAATATTTTTAATCTGTTTATTATATGTAATATCATATTAACCTTCATTTTATGATTTTCGACCAACCACTCATTTTATATGTATAAATTAAAAATAGTTATTTCAAAGTATTTATAAATAACGTTGCATATACATAATGAACTTAAGCTTAGTATATATAATAAAATGTATTTATATAAATAGTAATCATTATTTTTATCACACATGGATTGAAAAATCTATTGCTAAAATAATAAAAATTTAAGTAAGTAATTATTTCAATGATAAAGTAAATACGACATTAAAATGATAAATCAACAATTCATATAAATTATTAGATTATAAAGAATCAAAAAATTATAATATGTAATTTTATAAATTATGATGAACCAACAAATTATCTTTAGAACTGCAGTGTAAATTATAAAATTACAAAGAAAAATAAAAATATTTATAGTATATATGTTGTAAATTATAATGATAAGCCAGTGAGACATCAGCTGTCAAACAACGATGTAAAGTATTAGTTTAAAAAAAATCAAAATATTTATAGTACATAATGTTATAAAATTACAATGATAGATCAACGGGCGTCGAACTGACATGCGAATTATTAGATTAGAAAGAAAAATGAAAATATTTATAATATAAGTTATACAAAATTAAAATAATTTTAACAAGTACGTAATTAAAAATTAATAAATTATATAACTTTAAGATAATATAACTACATTCTTTTTAAATAAGTGTCAATTTAAAATATTAATCATAATTTTTTAACATTATAATATATATGTGAGTAGAGAAAGAGATATAAATTATCAATAAATTTACTTCCATCATATATGTATAACTACTCATATTATTTTATTACTTTTGTATCATATGATAATTAATTATTAATCATTACCTTGTTAGTTATGTAAATATTGAGATTGTACTATAGGCTAAGTTTAGGCCCAATTTAGACTAAGACCTATCTATGTATCTATATATATATATATATATATATATATATATATATATATGTGTGTGTGTGTGTGTGTTTTTGTGTGTACTCCTCTTATAAATAATACATCAGATATTTTTCCTATATTCTAACACCTTATATTATTTTACTAAACAAAAACTCACCATTGTGTTTATCAAATTCTAAAATGCCTTATAGGTTATTAAGGTTAACGAAACGTGTAACATCTTTAGGAAAAATTCAGGCAACTACCATCTTAGTGGAGTATGGGACCAAATTTTTATAGTGTAACGTCTAGTAAAGCCACCCTAAATTGTTAGTTGACATGTGTAACGCACCACTTTTATTTGCCGAAAATCCGAATAAATTTTTCAAATTTATTTCGAAGCACCTGAGGGGTTAATCCTTTTTAAATCGAACTTCAATACTAACCAATTTTTCAATATTCGATCATTCATCAAACTCAATCATCAATCATCATCAATAATACTAACTCCCAAAAACGGGTTTTCCAAAATTTCATAAATCATCACCTAAACCGGGTTCCCAACAATATTCATAAATTCTAAGGAGCATCTCCTTTAACATTATTCAGTCATAAAATCCGAAATTCATAAAAACAATAATACCCCAAGTTCATAATCATAAAACCAGTTCATAAATGCGGAAGCATAACAAATAATAAGGCCAGTCTTATAGACCGACCACCACTCGCTCTACTCCGCCGTCGTACCTGCCTCGCTTAACCTGAAACGTGAATTTCAGATGGGGATGAGCACAATTGGAAAAAGTAGTGCTCACCACTATGCAGTAAACATTATTCGTAATAATGAAACAGTAATCAATAATCAAGAAGGTATGGTCTCAGCATGTATACGAATCAATTAATTATCCAAATCTCCTATCAATCATATCAATAATAGACTCATGTGCACACCTATAGCAATAGACTACTGCCAAACTATATACCGAACGTCTTATCTAAGGCCTTACAACGAGTGTCCGGCCAGTAGGAGTATCCCGTCGGCCAAGGCCTCACCTTGGTCTTACCAACGGGGTTGTCCAGCACAGGAACCTTTAACCCACGTCTTACGGCTCAAAATGTGTCCAGCACAGGGACCTTTAACCCAGGTCTTACGGCTCAAAATGTGTCCAGCACAGGGACCTTTAACCCAGGTCTTACGGCTCAAAATGTGTCCAGCACAGGGACCTTTAACCCAAGTCTTACGGCTCACAATAATAAGGAGACTACCCAACGGGTACGTTCTATAGATACGGGGATAACCTTTCGACGGCCAGTACGCGAAGGCTACATGTTCCACATACATACTTGATCATACCAAAAATTTAAAACAGTAATAACATTTACAGCATAGATAATTTTACATTAAACCCACCTGGATATAGCATGAGGTTTAGCCAAACACAGAGTTGAAGGAATTATGGCACAAGTTCATCTCGAGGAACCTACAATAATTATAATACCCTTTCACTGACTATCCAATATAAAATAAATACCACATAAGGCACATATACTTAGTCGAAATCATATCGACTAAGCAACTCGTGGATTCTTTGACCGAGTTAAGCACTATGGAGTGACTACTAGACCTGGACACAACTCATATACTTCAAATATTTCACATAAAACATGCCAACACTAAATAAATCCTATCCGAACCTAACTAACCGATAACTGAACATTAAGACTCCAAAATAAACAAAATTCAGAATCAGGAGTTAGGCTAAGCCATTCAACTTGAAACTTTACCACATTATAAAACATGCAAAAACACATAAACTCACCAAGTTTTAGCCCTAAATTCATCCGGGAACATTTTTAAATGATTTAAGCAAAAACATAAACCAAAATCAGCATTTAATAGTTCACAAAGCTACACTTCGAGTTTCAGTCTGCAATTTTAGAACCACCTAAAACATCATAAAATAACAGGTTCCTGAAAGTTTCAGCTCAAAACTCGAAGTGTACGATTTTTAGTGAATTTTACAAGTTTCTGACCAGAACCCGTTTTAAGCATTTGAACTCAAGAAACTCAAAAGTAAATTCAAGGGCTTAGCACACACATTCCAAATACTTAGAGGAACAACATATCAAAAATTCAGCTCAAACGGATAACAACTCGATTTATGGTGAATTTATTATGATTCAGCAGCATGCTCGGTTTAGAAAAATCATAATT